GGTTTGAATTCTGGCTCTGTCATTAACTTGAGGTGTGACCTTGGGAAAGTCACTGCCCTTGTCTGAGTATCACTTTCCTGATCCGTACAATGAGCTACTGGGAGAGGATGTTTGTAATAATCAATGAACACAAGAATCAGTCAATCAATAAACATTTATAAAGCACCTACTGTGAAGGAATGGAGGAGTGAAAAAGCATTCATAAGTTCTTACTGTGTGCCAGGCTCTATGTTAGGTGCTGGGTGCAAATACAAAATTCAGTCCTGGTCTACAAAGATCAGCTTTTTCTGTTCTGGTTTTTCTCTTAAAGACCAGTCTTAGACCCAAATCACTCTGGCTCTCATGGCCTGGCCGACAATAGGTCCCCCCGCCAGCCCCTCTTGGCCGTTGTTTGGGCCCTGACTGGCTCACTGGCTGCAAACAGCAACAGAAGCCCTGAGGGTCTCCCCTCCCTGATAAGAGACCATTCTGGCCCCATTTCTCAAGTAGCCCTAGTCACTGAATGGGCGCTGCCTCAGGCAAACTGAGACCTGGTAAGGGCCTGAGCTTGAAAAGGCCAAGGATCCCCACTGCATCAGGGCCATCTCCAGTCCTCCTGATGTGCATCTGGTCACCAGAGGACAAAGTGAGGCTGGCGACTTCCCACAGCCCTGCCTCACTTAAGTCCAATTCACTCCCACGTCATGGTGTCCCCTCTCTGATGGCCTGGTCCTCTTTGAGAACAAAGAAGGAACAGCAGCGAGCGTGGTCCGGCGGTTGGAGTGCTGAGCCCAGAGTCAGGAAGCCCCGAGTTCAAATCTGGCCACAGACACTTACTAGCTGTGTGACCCTGGCCAAGTCACTTCACCCTGCTTGCCTCAGTTTCCTCTTAATAATAATAATAGCACCTGCCTCCCAAGGTTATAAGGAGGTTTAAATGAGGTATTTATATAATTCTTAGCACAGTAAGCACTAGATAACCTTGGGGGACATAACACTTGGAGGGAAATAGTGGTGGCCGGGGAAGGTCCTGGGAATGCTCAATGTGGACATATCTGAGCCCCGCCCATAGCATCTTTTGGGTTGTGTCGACTCTTCATGACCCCATTTGGGGTTTTCTTGGCATCGATACACACTGGAGTAATTTGCCATTTCCTTCACCAGCTCATTTTACAAATGGGGAAACTGAGGCAAACAGGGTGAAGTAACTCGCCCAGGGTTACATAGCTAGTGTCTGAGAGGCCCAATTCCAAGCCCAGTGCTCTGTGCACTATGGTGCCACCTAGCGGCCTCTTAAAGCTATAAATTACAGAATAATATTAGGACCCTACTTCAGTCTCAAGTCCTTGGTCCAGTCCAAATGAGAAACCTTATCACTACTCAATCAACCTTCAAGGAAAGCAATGCCCCCCACACACACTAAAGGCCTGACCACTCTCTTTGAGGAAATGGGGTGAAAGTTAAGGGAGCTGGGGTGATGGCTGGCCGAGGACAGGGTGGGGTCAAGGTAAGATTTACTCACTTACAGACAAGACTGTCTCCTGAAGCTTTGACCAGATTAGGGTAATGATTGACTAAGAGAAGGAAGAAGTCTTTGATTATGTACCTGGGTGGTGGGAAGGAGTGGTCTGAGAGAGGTTGGATGGTGGGGCCAGAGCCTTCTGGAGGGTGTGCCTCTTCTGAGTCACCATCTTTCTAATTCTGTTACCTCCTTCCCTGTTCGATCCTATCTGTGGATTTTTGCTGGAGAATAATGTAAGCCCCAAGAGCAAAATGGCTGGAGTACGAGGGAGGTTTCCAGAGTTGGGGGAAACTTTGTGGGGCAGTCCCAGGTGGGACTTTGTGCATCAGAAGGCAATCCGGTGAAGCCCCCTGACCCTCTTCTGAATTGTGCTTTTAAATGACCCAAACACATGGGGTTGCAGTGGGAACCAATGACATTGAAAGTTATAAAAGGATTTTGAAGACCTCACCAAGGTCATAGACCCCAGCTAATAACCCCACCCCAAAATGTTTAGAAGACTTGGATTAACAACGTGTTTCTGAAAGCCTGGGCCCAAAATACAGAGTGTTTGTTTGTTTGGAGTCTGACCCTTAGCTGGAGCTTGGGATTGGCCTGGGGGAAAAGGGGCTGAGGGTGTCCTCTGGGCAGGGTGAGATCCAAGCTCCCAGAGGGCAGGCAAGATCACGGAGTCAGACTCAGGGGAGCTCTGAATGCCAACATTAGGATTTTAGACACTGTTTGTAGGCAGTTGGGAGCCACGGAGGAGGCTCCCAGGAGGAGAGTATTGTGGACAATGTCATCAGATTGACAGGAATATTCCTGGGAAAGGTACCTCTATGGTGATCTGTGTTGTCTGCCCTGGTACAGCGCAGGGTCCTCGAGGGTAAACATGCTTTTAAAACGTGTGTCCCCTGTGCTCAGCACAGTACCTGGAACATGGCAAGTGCTGAATAAATGTTTTTGTGTTCCTTCCCTCCTTCACTGGTTCAGTATCAGGATGGTGCAACACCGTGATTCCTCGGGCCAGGCTTTGAATGATGATGGATTGGAGAGGGGATAGATGGGAGGCTGGAAAACCGGTTAGGGGACTGTTGGAGTAGTCAGGGTGAGGCGAGGAACTGCTTGGGGAAGTGGCCCCGGGAGTAGGAGCCGGCACAGATCAGGAGATTGCCAAGGCAGCCTTGCCACTGTCTGACACTGACGCGCTTCAGGGGTTCAGGGGTGCTGGGCCCCCAAAATCGCCGCACGTGGGTCCTGCCCGAAAGAATTCGACCCAAGCCTTCTTTCAGCCAAAGACGAGGTTTATTAAAACATCCGTCATATTGGGCAGACTCTTAAGGAGTCTGAAACCTGGGTAAGCAGTGGCTAGATTATAAGAATCTAAGCATCTTAATGGAGACAAGATGGACCTTATATAAAGACTGTGGGAGGGATCTAGGAGTGGCCAAGTAGTCTGTGAGGTAATAGAATTCCAGGGACCTGAACCACAGGGCCAAGGGAGAATGGAGAAGTGGCCTGGGGCCATAGGGAGGTCCACAAAGATGGGATTATAGCCTCAGGGGATCACCAGAGTTTTGGCCATGTGGGAAATTTCAGGGTTTTTCCTTCTGGACCCCAGATCCCAACCCATCAACACCTGCTTGGGTTGGGAGTAAGGGAAGAATCCGGGACAAGGAGCCTTCTGAGTCTGGGAGGGGCACGGAGGACCAAGTCTGGCAGGGGCCAGCCGAGTCTGGGTGGCCAGGCAGGCCTGGCTGGAGGCTGAGCCTGGACAACGGCCCCTGCAGGGCAGGGAGGGAGGTCACCGAGAAAATGTTGGGAAACACCCAGGAGGAAGTGTGGGAGGATGCTAGGGAGCTCTGGCCTGCCAGAGTGGGGATGGAAAGATGGAGGCCTGCTGGGGAAGCCAGAGCAGGAAAGGGAAGGGAGGCCAGCAAAGGGGAGGCTGCCAGTAATAAGAGGGTGACCTTGGAGCAGACCGGGTGAGGGGATGGCGGCCAGATGACCAGAGCCAGTCGTAGGACGGATGGGGAGGGCAGCAATGCCAAGATTTGGGTTCCCAATGATAATAAGGACGTTGGAAAGTTTTGAGGGGAGAGATGCTGAGATTGCTCTGAAACATTGAGTGTGTGGGAGGTGAGGCAATGGGGCAGCCAGCAGAGACGCCTTTCTGACACCTTTTTCCTGACATGCACTCTTCCATCCTGTGACACCGGCCTTCATCTCCCACCTCCAGGCACTCTCTCTAGCTGTGTCCCCTGCCTGGAATGCTCTCCCTCCTCACCTCTCACCTCCTGGCTTCCCCGGCTTCCTTCGAGTCCCAGCTACAATCCCCCCTCCTGTAGGATGCCTTCCCAGCCCCTCTGAATTCTAGGGCCTTCCCTCTGCTCATGATTTCCTCTTTATCCTGGACGGACCTTGAGTCATGCAGACTGCTTCGCATCTTGTCTCCCCCCGTGAGGTTGGTCATAAGCTCCTTGAGGCCAAGGACCGTCTTTTCCTCCTTTTATATCTCCAGAGCTCAGCAAGGTGCCTGGCATATAGTAGGTACTTAATACATTTTGATTGAGTGGGTGAGTGATTCTAAAAGTCTGGCGGCTAGGGTTGGGGTTAGGGTTAGTACATAAAGTGCCAGTCCTGGAGTCTGGAAGACCCGAGTTCAAATCCAGCCTCAGACACTTACTAGCTGTGTGACCTTGGGCAAGCCACTTCACCCTGTTTGCCTTAGTTTCCTCATCTGTAAAATGAGCTGGAGAAGGAAATGGCAAACCGCTCCAGTATCTTTGCCCAGAAAATACCACATGGGGCCAAGGAGAATCGCACACAACTGAACAAAATCTGGCTAGAGCTCGCAGACTCTGCCCCGTGAGGATTTCAAAGGCGCAAGGAGACGGGGTGTGGTTTGGTTTTCCAGGCTGAGGGTTTTGAACCAGACCAGAGGCGCCCGGCCCTTAACTCGGGGTAGTCCCCAACGCTCCCTGTTGGTCCAGATTGGGTTAAATCACAACGGAGAATGCTGAACAAAATAAAGACCCAAAAAAGGCAGATGATATTCCAATGTAGGGTGAAGTCGCTGTCCTGCCCCCAGTTTAGTGTCCCCTGTTCTGGCTTGAGTTTGGCCATTGGACCACCCTGCCCCCTTGGAGGCGTCCCTGGACCTGCCTTTGAGGCTCAGCCCAGCGGAAGCAGCTGGAGGTGGGGAGGGAGCAGGGGAGCAGGAGCAGGTATGAGTGGCGCCAGCTGCGGGGAGGACTGGAGTGGTCGCTGAGTGGAGGGCAATGGGGAATGGGCAAGGACTTTCAGGTCTGGGATCGAGGATGCTCGGCAGGTGTGCCAGCATGCACATTTGCTCCTTCATGCCCTCCTGATGATGCCTCTCGCCAGGGAAGGGGCACCACCCTGGGTCTCGATCCTGCCGCTTCTCGGGCACCAGGCCAGCTGTGTCCCAGCATCTCCATCTGGATGCTGCATCCCCTCTCTCCTCCCCTCCCAGACAGAAAGGATTGCTGAGTCCCCAGGCTCTCACTCAGCCAGCTCGGCCGTCCTTTATTCTGTGGCGGAGGGCAGGAGAGGAGGGGAGCTTTGAGAAGAGCGACTTCCCAGCCCCATCCTGGGAGGGTGCTAAGCAGCGCGCTTGACCATCTCCATCTTCCGGCCAGCTTCCCATCTCCCAGCCCTGGCGTCCCTTCAGTGGCCCCTTTAAGGAAGGGCATGCAAGGAAACAGAATGGGAAAGCCCCTGGGTTTACAGAAGGGTCCCTGAGGCCCAGAGAGCAGAAGGGGCTGGCTGCCTGAGGCCTTCTGGGTGGTGAACCGCGCAGAGTTCAGCTCTCCAACCCTGGCCAATACTCAACCTAAGCTTAACTCCAACACAGACACTCCTGGCTGTGTGACGCTGGGCAAGTCACTTCATCACCGTCTGCCTCAGTTTCCTCAACTGTAAGAAGAATCCTAATAGCACCTACCCCTCCAGGCTGAGATAATACTGTAGGCAGTTAGCACCACGCCCAGCACACAGTAGGCATTAAGAAAAGCTTCTCTCCCTCCCTCCCCCCGACTCCTTGCTCAGGCCCAGGGCCTTGGATGGATAGTATGTTCTGTGTGTGTTCCACTGCACGGTTCTTGGTTCCCCTTGAGGTTGGGACTTTCTGTACACACAGCAGAGGGGAGTGTGGGCAGCCCCCTGGGGGAACCGTCACAGCCGGGGAAGGCCATGGATTCCCTCTCCTGTGAGTGTGGCCCTGCCTGGAGACAGGGGGATGGACAACGTGACCGAAGGAGGAGAGAGACAGACGCAGGAACGAGACAGAGACAGACGCAGAGGTAGAGAGAGACAGATGGAGTGGAGAGACAGCGGCAGAGAGGACGCTGCAGAGGCCCCTCAGCAGCCACGGGGCACCAGGGCAGAGGGGACGCCAGCGTCCTGAGCCCCCTGGATGTTGTGCAGGGAATCATCAAAGAAGATGTGCGGGCGGATCTGGGCCAGGGTGGGCCCCTTGGGGGCCCCGTCCATGAAGAAGGTCTCGTCGAGGTGCAGCCCCCAGGCCCGCAGGGTGTTCAGAGCACGGAGGCTCATGCCCCCCTCACTGCGAGCCGTCACCAGGTATGTGCGCACCGGAGACTCGTCCTCACTAAACTTCTCTCTGAGTCGTCCCAGCTGCATGGCGAAGGCTTTCATGGGGCCCTGGGGTCAGAGAGAGAAGGAGACAGAAAAAGAGAGATAGAGACAGTCAGAGGCAGAAAAAGAGAGACATAGACACAGAGAGACAGAGACAAGATAGAGAGATAGAAAAGGGGGTGGTGACAAAGAGACAGAGAGAGACACAGACGAGAGGGAGAGGGAGAGAGAGAGAAAGAGACACTTATCCCCTTGCACACGCACCGCTTGGGCCTATCTGGACAGGGGGAGTGAGAGAACATGCCCGCCTGGGGGTGAGGGGGCCTCAGGACCCTACCTCCCTGGCCTGGCCTGAGGGAGACTTCACTCCATGCTTGGGTCAGGGCTGCTACCTACTTCACCAATGGGCACTGCCTCCAGCACTTTCTCGTACTGTACGGCCCCCGGCAGCCCCCGCTCCTGGAACACGCGGTCCGTCTCATCTGAGAAGAGCACGGCATCGCCATCAAAGGCCAAGCGAAGCTGGGTGCTGGGGGCCTGGACCTCCTGCTGGAAAATGAGGGCAGCCGGCACCCCTGGGAGAACAAAGACGCAGCTAGCATGAGGAGGCCTGCCAGCCTGCAGAGCCTGGGCCTCCCCTCCCTGGGCCGCCGGGCCCAAAAGGTGCCCTGCTAATAGTGGACGCTTGAAGGTTTTCAGAGCACTTTACATATGGTATTCATTTGATCCTCATAACAACCCTGGCAGGAGGTGCCCATTTTACAGATGAGGAAATGGAGGCAGCCAGGGTGAAGTGACTTGCCCAGGGTCTCACAGCTGGATCTGAACTCAGGTCTTCCTGATTCTGGGCTCAGCACTCTCTGCACTGTGGCTCCCCCTAGCTGCTGTCACCCCCCCCCCCAACATCGCCCCTCTTAGAGGGGATCATCTGCCCTCAGATGGGCTCAGATAAGTTAGCATATGTGAGTTCTAGCCAGGATTATCCTTCAGGTACTTTGTTAGGACCGCTGGCTCAGGGCACTCTGGGCTGGCTCTGAGCCCAGCCCCTGCTGCAGGCCGAGGCCTCAATGACGCCCAGCAGCCATAAGATGGTGCTGTTGGACAGACCAAGAGTCTGAACCCCTGAGCCGGCCCAGCCCATCCCCAGCCAGCGTCCAGCGGGGCTGAGCAAGTCCAGCCCCGAAGGTCCTCTGAAAGCCCCTGGTTTGGGGCACAGAACTCAGTTCCCCCTCCGCGGTTACTGGCTGTGGGCCCCTGGACAAGTCTCGACCTCTCTAGCCTCAGTTTCCTCATCTGTACAATGGGGATCATCATTGCCTCCCAATGTCCCTGCTAAAATCCCACCTTTTCCAGGAAGCCTTTCCCAACTCATGCTCTGCTGACCATTCCCGACCTCTCCCTTGTCTCCCCCATTAGACTGGGAGCTCCCTGAGGGTGGGACCTGGCCTTTGCCTTCTCTGTGTCCCCCGCCCTCGGCACATGGCGGGTGCTTAATCAATGCCAGCCGACTGGTTGCCTTCCTGACATCCGCCCCCAGGGTTGTTGCCAGGCTTAAAGGTGATGACCCGTGTAGAGCATACCAATACGTTACTTCTCTTCCCTTCCTTTCCTCACTCAGAAAAGGGGCCTGGAAGGCAGTGTCCACAGACCGCAAGCCGGAGTCAGGCCAGTGAGCCCCTGGGTTAGCGGGCAGCAACCGAAGGAAGCCAGGCTCTGGACAGCAGCCTTCCTTGGGTGGGGACAGGGACAAAGCCCTGACCAGGGGCCATGTGACAAGGGGTCACTCTAACTGGAAAGGTGTCTTCCTGCTGGCCAAGCCTGTGGCCAGAGAACACTCCTGGGAGGCAGGAAAATCCAGGTTTTAATCCTGCCTTTGACACACAGGAGCTGGGTGAATCTGGGCCACTCGCTTCCCCTCTGCCTGCCTCAGTGCCCTCATCTGTACAATGGGGATAATAATGGCACCTCCTCCAGTGCCCTTGGTCTAGAAAAGCCCATTCTTCTCAGTCTGGTTATCATGGCAGCTTGCTAGGAGCCTGCAAGCCACAGGGAGAGACTTGGGGTGCTGGGGTGCCTGGAAGCCAAGGGAAGCCCGGCAGGGTTGGGGACAGAAGCCTGAGCCGTTGGGAGCCTTGGGGTGTGAGGCACAGGCTTCCTGTGCCAGAGCCACAGCGGCTCACACAGACTCTCTGGGCACTCTTGACGGCCGCTCATAGGGTCATTCCCCCATTAGACAGCGGTCTCGTTTAGGGCGGGCACTCTTTCTTTCTGGTTGGATTTGTGTTCGTGCCGTGCCTGGCACACAGTAGGTGCTTAATAAATGCTTGCTGACATGGGGCAGAAGAAAGAGCCCTGGCTTGGGAGTCCAAGATCCAGGTTCAAGTCCAGACTCTGGGACCCCCTGTCGCTCCACCCTCTCAGCCCCATATCAGTTTCCCCACCTGTAAAACGAAGATGGTCAAAGAGAGGATCTCTCAAGTTCCTCCAGAGACGTAGGCACCCTTCCCTCCCTTGGGGAGGCCCCAGAGCTTTGGGCTAGAGTCAGGGAGGGGGGCAGGGGCTGGGAGGGGCAGGGGAAGGCTCACCCCTCCTCAGGGCGTTGCAGACATCAGTCTTGTCTGCGGACAGAAATAGCCTCACATTGTGGTCTCTCAGGTACTGGGTGGAGTCGTTCTCCCTGACAAAGCAGAATTTGGAGATCTCCAGACCTGGGGGGAGAGGAGGGGTGACTCAGGAGGCCCCCCACCCAGGCAGGGGAGGGGCTTGTCTCCCAGATGACCCTGATTCAGCCAGCAGCAGGTGGGTTTCTGCTCCTTCTCCAGGGCCTGGGGGTGCGTGGACTGCTTTGTCAAAATGCGACTGACCCCAGGCAAGCCCTACCTCTCTCCAGGACTCAGTTTCCTCTTCTGTAAAGTAAGGGACTGGGCCTTCCCAAGGACGGTATCTATACGGCAAGTTTTTAGTGGTTGGCCAAATTCACCCCGAAGGCCAGCCGTCTGAACGAGAGTTTAAACCTCCTTCCCGTGTCCTGCCCCTCCCATCCCTGACTGCCTCCTATTCCCGATTCTTGCTGAGGCAGCATGGGAAGGCGGACCGCGGGAGAGAGCAGCTCAGTTAACTGACCCCCAGGGCTTGGGCTGGGAAGCCGGCTGAGGCGGCCTCTCAAGGGCGCCCCTCAGTTCTCTGGTCCCTGCCCCATTTCAGCCTCCAGGGGCCTCCCAACTTGGGTGACTGCTAAGGCTGGGGGCTGCCTAGTTCGCCCTCCCTCTGTTCCAGGTGCAGAGGGCTTGATTGCGTCCCAGGAGTCGCTGAGGAAGGCTGGGGCCTGCGGCACAGGACCTGACTTCTGACTTGTCCACCAATTCTAGCTCGAGGACTTTGGGGGACGGAGGGGCCTCAGTTTCGTCATCCATAACTTGGGTGTGGCGATACCTGCCCAGGGGCTCACAGGGCTGTGGTGAGGAAATAGAAGGTGGGGCCCGAGCCGAAGGACACAAGAACATCATTTGGGGGCCACTAGGCACCAGGGGACAGAAAAAAGAGAAACTGGGGGGAGGGGGAGTTGCCAAGATTTAAGCTGGAAGTCAAGGAAATTTTCATCACAATTAGAGCTGCCCATAAGCATTTCTGGTCTCAAGACCTTTGCACTGTCAATTCCCCCTGCCTGGAATGCCATCCCTTTTCCTCTACCCCTCAGAGGATCGCCAGCCTCCTTCAGGAAGGACTCAGTCAGACACCACTTGGACAGGAGCCCTTATTCTGCATCTTTCCCTGTCAGGCAAGGGTTATTCCAGGACCAAGGACCTTCAAACAAATCCTCCTAACTATGTTTCAATGGGAAAACGATGTTTCCTCGGGATTCCTCTGCCTTTATCTTAAAGACTTGAAGTATTCTTCTGGAAAGAGTCCTTAGGCTGTGCCAGGCCACCAGTCAGCGGGGTCTCCTAAGACATCATGGAAGACTAGGGCGCTCTCTCCTCCGCTGGAATGTGGGCTCCCCGAGGGCAGGCACCCGGTGGCCTTGCTCCGTATGCCCAGGACTCAGCCCAGCGCCTGGCCCATGGTCAGCACTTGGTGACTGATCGGCTGAGCCACAAAGCCCCACTGGCCCGGGCTGCCCCTTCACCCCTCACTGCAGGGCATTAGCAAAGAGGGCTGGAGAGCTCCTAGTGGCCTGGCCTAGGGTAGGGTTTCCTCTTCCCTTATGGCCTAGCTCAGTAGCTGAGGTCCTGTCCACCTCTGAAATTCTGTCATTCTGGGGCTTCTGTTCATACCCCAAGCAGGATGCCAATGGCCCCTGGTCCAGTCTCATTGCTCTATTCCCCTGCCCCCAGGATGGGGGGGCCTGAGCCAGCTGGAGGCCAGTGGTAGCCTCTTCACATCACATTCAAGAGCCTGGAGCTCTTGGAGAAGGGTGGGGCTGCCCTTGGGGTGGGGTCTGTGCTCAAGCAGAGGAGGGCTTGGGGAGAAGAGAAAGGGCCCTCCTGGTTGTCCCAGCCAGGGCAGGTGCAGACCCCCAGGGATGGCTGGGCAGAGCTCAGGGAAGCCTCCCTTGGCCTTTCCCTCCTCTGGACTTCTGCCTCACCTGCCTGCCTGGCACAGTGAATGATTCTGCTGCCAGCCTCCGGGCTGTTGTTGGAGAGGACTATGACATCCAGGAGGCCTCGTTCCTCTGGGTCACGCTCCAGCAGCCTCTGATTGACCAGCTGCACTGCCTAGGAGGGCAGCGAACAAGGCCTGGTGAGCTACCAGCCTCCTCAGCCAGAGCCACCTGGGGGCGGGGACACGTCGATGGGCCAAGGCTGAGGGGGGCACCTGTCAGGTAGCGTCCTGCCTTGCAGCCGCCCACAAGGCCTGAGCGGGGACTTTTGCTCAGCAGGGGCTCTGCCTCCCGTGGCCTCCAAAGGGTTGGGCACCTGTGCTCCCAGCCACAGCCCAAGAAGGAGGCATGCCAGGGCCAGGGGAATCAGGATCTGGGTGTGGGGCCAGCCTCCTCACCCCCTGCTGGGGGACAGTGGCGCAGGAAAGCAGGTGAAGTGAGGCAAGAGCTCACTGTAAGGACCCGGGTCAGCTCAAGCCCCGCAGCTGATGCTCCCTGCCTCGAGGCCCTCAGGTGGAGCCAGAAGCCTGCCCGCCTGTGCCACCACGGCATCTGTTCTGTGGCCTGGGCCGCCTTTCCCTTTCTCAAGGGTCTTCCTTAGTTTACCCACCTGCACCCCCAGTACAATAAAGGGGATGACTTTCCCAGCCCCTTTGTCGCTGAAGAGCCTTGAGGAAGGGAGGGAGGGCACACCTGAATTGAAACACTTGGAAAGGCCTTTGTAAATGGGCCCTTGAAGAGATGTCATTATGGTCCCCACCCAGCCCCTTCCCCTCGCTAAGCCCCTTGGCCCTGGCTTGCTGCAGCTTGGGTCCAGGAGGGGAAGGGAGACTGAGAGACAGTGCAGGGTGCCTGGGGGAATGTGGGGTAGGAAAGGCCCACCTGCCTGGGAAGTGTGGGGGTGAGGCGGGTTACGCCCCAGGAGGTCCCCTGCCTCGGTAGGATGAGAGGCCGAGGCGGGAGGAGGGGGACATATTAGGGGCCCCATGGGTGGGGATGGGGGGAGCCCGGCATTCCTCACACCCTTCGGAGCAGGGTGTTGGCCCCGGGGTCAGCCGGGGATCCCAAAGGCAGCTGCTTACGAGGCAACCTGTGTCAAGTGAAGAGGGGGCTGCCCCAGAGGCCCTGCCAGGCCCCTCGGAGCGCCAAGGAAAGGCTGGCACCTGGATGAAGGGGAAGGCTGTGCCCGGGCGCAGCGGTTCCTTGGCTCGGGCGGTCTGGTGCTTGATGTACTCCTCGGTGCCCTGGGCCAGAAACAGCTGGTGCTCAGCCTCCAAGTCGAAGATGGCTCTGGCGGTGACTGCAATGACCAGCGCTTCCCTCGGGTCCTTCTGCAGGGGCCAAGAGGCAGCAAACCCCCCAGGGTCTCCTTAGGGCCTGGCTCCTGCTGGGCCACTGGGCCACAGGCCCATCTCAGCCCGGGGCTTTCCAAAGAGCTGAGCCCCTTCTCTCTTCCAGTTGTGGGCTCTCTAAAGGCCATCATGCCCCCCACACTAGCGATGTCCCCGGGGTGATATTTTCCCCTAAGACTATGGGGTCCCCCACAGCCGGGGGGCTCCGTCATGACCAAGTTGGCATCTCCTCCTCCTTCCCCTTTCATTGTTCAGCCCAGGATCAGCTGGTCTGTCACAGAGCAGCTGGGTAATAGATGCTAATTGACTGGCTGACTAAATCCTCCATCTCTGCCCTGACTGGGGCTGAGGCTGAGCCTCCCGTGCTGTCCAGGGAGTCCTAGACCTGGGCTTCTTCACAGAACATGTGTGAAATGGGTTGTTGGTTGGTTCTAATAGAATGGATTTCCCCTGCAGTCCCAGTGACTTTGTTTTGTGTGTTTTGGGAAGGGTTCCAGAGGTTTCAGCAGCCCGGCCTGCCCCAGGGGCCCCCTGGTCCTCCCTGCTCTTTGGGAACCTGCTCCCCTCATTTGCCTCCAGGGAGCCCTGCTTGGACCCCTGGCAGCAGGGTGGGGCTGATCTGAGGAAGGGAGGCTGTGCAGAGGCACCTCTACTCACCTGGACAACGTCAGGGTTCAGGACAACCGCCCCCGCCTGTGCCATGGCCGCCTTAGCCCTGTTACTGAGGCAGACAGGAGCCTGGGGAGCAGAGAGGAGTCACCAAGGTGGGTCCCCGGGGAGGGTCTCTCCTTCCCCGGGCTCCTGCCAAGGCTCAACAAACCGACTGAAAGTCCTGTGCCATTACACTCGAGTTCACACACACACACATTACAAACACACACTCCTACTCACACATATTCTCATACACAAAAACATACACGCACTCACAATACGTACACACTCCCACTCACACATACTTATATCTTCTCTCTCTGTCACACACACATACTCTCACCCACACTCACACCCTGCACACACACTCACAATACATACTCATACATTCCCACACAAACGCATACTTACATTCCCTCACACATTCACACACATGCACACTCTCACTTATACACACTCACACTCTGCACACACATTCACACACATATTCTCACACACTCACTCTCACATGTTTATATTCTCTCATACATTCACACACATGCACACTCTCACACTCACACACACTCTGCACACACATTCGCACACACATTCTCACACACTCACACTCTCACATACACACACACTCACAATACATACATACTCTCACACATACATTCTCTCATACTCTGCACACACACACACACTCTGCACACACACACACGCACACACATGCGCACGCCTACGCGCACACACACTACAAACTCACACATTCCCACTCACACATATTCTCATACACAAAAACATACACGCACTCACAATACGTCCACACTCCCACTCACACATACTTATATCTTCTCTCTCTGTCACACACACATACTCTCACCCACACTCACACCCTGCACACACACTCACAATACATACTCATACATTCCCACACAAACGCATACTTACATTCCCTCACACATTCACACACATGCACACTCTCACACATACACACTCATACTCTGCACACACATTCACACACATATTCTCACATACTCACTCTCACATGTTTATATTCTCTCATACATTCACACACATGCACACTCTCACACTCACACACACACTCTGCACACACATTCATACACATATTCTCACACACTCACATGTTTTTATTCTCTCATACATTCACACACATGCACACTCTCACACTCACACACACACTC